AACTGTTTATTCTTCCGAGTGCAAGGGACAAGGTTCAAGGCTTTGGAAGTCTCTGTGTAAGAGTTACATGGACAAGAGAAATGGTATGTTGAGACGCACAATTCTGTGCAATCTTTTGGGATTAATTTGAAATGTTGAAACTGTGTCTAAAGCAGCTATTTTTTGCTGATATAAATATAAAGGCCATGCATAATCATCAACAAGTCTTGTAATGGTGATCCATTGTACAGGAATGGCATGTTGGGCACATCCCTTTGATGTTGAACTCTGGCATGTGCAGAGCTGTACTCAAGTCCCTTGAGTTCAGGAATAAGATGTGGATTTTTTGTTTCTGCAGCCTGCTGATCTGGTTTGCAATATTTCAGTGCTGGACAGATGAAACCTTTGTTAACCGTTTTATACTACAGTCTTTGTGTCCATTTGACTCTGTTTGTATGTAGAGAATTAGCATGAACTCTCTCCATAAAGTAAGACAAGGTATGATTTGATCCATAGAGTAATCTCACACTGTTTCAGCTTTACACTGAAGATTGACAAGTTTGTCAATGGACTTCCTTTAAGTTTTTAGGGTTTGTGAATACTTGGAAGCCCTGCCACCTTTTTTGTAAGCATTAAAAAATTGAAATGATTTGTGGAGCTCAGCGCAAATGAGTCCAATTTTGGTTGCTCCAGTTTAAGATTGTCAGGGCCATAGATATGGTGTAGGATTTATGAGGATGGTACCAGGCATGAGTGTTTATAGGAACCGAGATTGGAGAAATTGGACCTGCTTCTATAATAATTCTTGCATTTGATAGAACACCTTATATCATCAAACTGTCTCAAAGCACCTCTTAGAATTTACCATAGAGTGTAGTGACTGCCCATTTTATAAGTGACCGCAATAACCGATTTGTGCCCAGCAGAGTCTCATAAATATCCATGAAGTAAATGACCATGTTTTTAAATCTGGAGAATTGTTGACCACAGCACCAGGAGAAATTATGACCTGTCCAAGTGGACATTAAAGATCCCATGGCACTATTCAAAAAGAGTAGTGAGTTTCTCTTGGCGTCCTGGCCAACAATCCCCCAAATAAAACTGTTGGCATATTACTATGCGCAAATTGTCTACTGCATTTTCCCACAAAACACATAGTCACTACACTTTACAGTATATCCTGTGAAGCACTTTGAGACTTCCTCCTGACCTGTAAGGCTGCTATACCAAATGTAAGGATTATTATATAAAGTTGCTGACCAAAGCATTTGCAGAGTGTAGGATGTGATGTTGGTGGCAGCTTGATAACATGAGGCCGCAGGGTATCGGTGTTATAACTTGGGCTTCTGATTTTCGGTAATAACTGATAAAACACCTCTGATACAAAAACAATGAAATTGGTGTTTATCCAATAAATTGAATGAATTGATGCCAATGATTTCTTTGCTTTGTTCACTGTTTGACATAGAAGTAATCTAGAGTGAGACCAGCAATTTAGAAAGGTTCACTAATACCTTGACAAATATTCAGTCAATATTCATTAGTTTTCTTATCTGTGATGAACATGTTTCCAGATTATGTGAATTTAGTACAGTATGAATTGTATTTAGTTATGGAAAGTTTTATGTGAAGGCGAATCATCGATCATACTGTTATGTTTATGTATTGGTGGATTAAAGATGTAGTGATTGTCAAGCACAGAACTGTGTATGAAATTTCACACACTGATTTAAGGGATTCGGGTAAGGACGGCAGATTATTTTTTGTAAACTGCTGATGTCAGTCTGACAATCTGAACAGTTTATTTTAATGTACTAAAATCTAACAAGTATTTTTTAAAAATAGCATGCAATACATAACCACATTTATGTTTCCAGCCATGGCTTAAAGTCAGTACTGCATGGGTCATAGGTGCCACTGCTGGAATCACTGAAGTGTGTGCGTGACTGGTGGTCTTGTCTGTTTCTATTTTACATAACATCTTGATATGAACTTCAATAATGCAGACTGAGGCCATGATGTTCCACTGACCTCCAGTGGACCTCAGCTGGAATGTATTAAGCAGCTGCCCCACTGCCTGCCGCATAAGGGTACTTTGTTAGTGTTGAGATCTGGTCGTCTAATCTGGGCTCAGCATTTGCACCCATTGCCTGTTTATAGCACTGGGAAGCTTTATTGGGAAGTGAAACGGTGATTTTGCTAGTTCCTTCCTGTCACTGCTATCCTATTTAGCTGATGGAAAATATACCTGGCTGACACAGCAGTGTGCATTTATGTGCATCATGATAATAATAATCCTTGCATTTGATATAGCACCTTATCACATCTTTGAGACGTCTCAAAGTACTTCACAGGATATACAGTAAAGTGTAGTGACCGTATGCTGTAATATACTCAAAAACCTCATGGAACCTATTCCTTCTGAAATGCTCAGTCCCACCTTACAATGATTTGTGCAAGAATGTCTGTTTATCATTGCTCTGAGACACGATCCCATGCAAACAGGGCTATATAAATACAAGTTGTCATACCAAGGTCCCACAAGGCATTTTAATACCAAGAATAACCTGTTGCTTGAACAGATTGTTGAAAGAAGTGGTTGAGATCAGGACACTGAACTCTTAAGAAACAGTTTGATATTGCAGTGAAAAAAATATAGGGTTGTTATGTGGAAGGATGAAATTGAGTAGGCTTCATACTAATGTTACAACATAACATTTAAAAAGTTAAGTCTTTTCAAAGTTAGCTGGTCATCTGCTAGACAACACAAGTGTTTAGACTGGACCATAGGGGAATGATCCTTGTGCAGTTCACACCTGCCTCACGTATATAATGCAGATGTAAACTGTACTGCTCCTGATACCATCTCCTCCAGATGGTATCTGGAACCAGTCTCCAATAGATTCATGCTGCCTCAACTCCCATTTATACTGCACATTTGCCAGCAAATTGCTGGATTATATAGTTAATTAATGTTGTGCTCAAGGGAATGGAATGCCATTCAAAACTCAATTACATTAGCAACTGAGAAAAGAACTTTGACCTGAACTCAAGTAGCAGTAACCAATTTTCTTTTCCACTTTGTCCTCTAATTCTGAAAACACTAACCTGGTGGATTGTTACAACATTTTGTTTAGTATGGATCATTCATCAGCTAGCATACACACAATTAAGAGTATGCACATGAAGACCTCAAGTACTCTTCAGAATCTGTGTCTGCTGCAGCATTCTTTATCTGCAGCTTGTGGAGGACAGAGAGAGAGAAGGACAGATCATCCTGAACTCTGCAGTTCGTGTCCTCTCCCGCACCAGGCTCTGTGACCCCATCACCCCCATCCTCTCCCGCTCCCCATCCCTCAGAGGATAGAATTCAAAATCCTTGTCCTCACTTTCAAGGCTCTCCATGGCCTTGCCTACTTCTCTGACCCTTATCAACCTGTCCGCTCCCTCTGTTCAGCAGACTCCGTCCGGCGTGCTCCATGTCTCCCGCCCAATCTGCCGTACCATCGGCGGCCAGGCTTTCAGCCCCCACCCTTTGGAACTCAATCCTACAATCCCTTCGCCTTGCACCCTCCCTTGCCTCCTTCAAAGCACGACTCAAGATCCTCCTTTTCGACCGTGCCTTCAGCCGCCCTCCTATCTCTCTGCCCTTCCTCGTCTCAACCCTGCCCCCCCAACCCACCCCGCGCTTTGGGTCCTGGTCCCTGACTATTCAGTGCCTTGGGATGTCCTCCCAACGTGAAAAGTGCTTTACAAATGTAATTTTGTTGTGGTTTGTTGTCCTTCTTTATCTGTTTCATGGGATAGCAAAACTACTAGTGTATGCATTCCTGAGCCACTACTGTACTTCTGTGATTCTGAAATAAGCCTTTGAGTTCTATGTATGTTTTTGGTTCATTTGACAGCAGTTCACACCATTGGCGGGTGGGCCTTCAGCCTCTCTGCCCCCACTCTCTGGAACTCCATTCCACAGTCCCTTCGCCTCACCCCCTCTCTGGCCTCTTTCAAGACCCGTCTCAAGACCCTCCTCTTCAACTGTGCCATCAGTCATCCTCCTACCCCTACCCTCCACCTCTCCTGACCCCAACCACCATCTTGGGTGTGGATCCCTAACTGTCCAGCGCCTTGGGGTGTCCTCTTTACATGAAAGGCACTATGCAAATGTAATTTGTTGTTGTTTCTGAAAAGGCAAAATGCTGTAAGATAATGATGGATACATGGAGTACAGATGCATTCAATCTCTCAAAATAGAAAACTAACCGAAGAGCAAAATACTCTTGACATTTGGCATAATTTGAATTATAGTTTTTTTTAAAAAAAAATGCATTGAGAGATGTCAGGAGTTGGAAACACATTGAAGGTGACACTCCACTCAGTGCTGGGGTTATGTTGCTTGAAGTAGGTGCCATCCTTCGGTTGAGAGGTTAAACCAAGGTCTTGTCTGCCTGTTCAGGTGGTTGTTAAAGATCCCATGGCACTATTCAACAAGAGGAGGGAGCTTGTCTCAGTGTCCCGGCCAACAATCTCCCAAATAAAATGTGTCAATTACTTCATTGCTGTTTGTGGGACATTGCTATATGCAAATTGGCTGCTGCATTCGTCCACAGAACACAGTCACTCTATGTACTGCACTTTATCATGTGAAGAATTTTGAGACGTGCTCCTGACATGAAAGGTACTATATCAAATTCAAGTATTATTATTATGGTTCAAAAGATTTCAAACATTTTGATTATGCCTTTCTCTAGGAACAACAAATGTGCTTGTTTAGGTAACAAAATAATCATAGTCACCAAAATGATCTGGGTTTTAAGTGTATTAAAAAAAATTATGAAATCAAAAATATTTTGTTTTTCAGAGACTAAAGCATTCATATAAATTACTGTTGCTTTGTAGTATTAAATATTTTGTGTTGTAAGACTTTGTATAAGTATTAAGTAAATATATAAGTAAATAACTTTAATACATTCATTGATTTTTTTATGAACATGAAATTTGATTTGCTTTATTTGTTGTTCTAGAATTGCACCTGAGGATGGATAACTATTGTATATAACATATTGCTTCATCTGATCAGCAGCTTACTGATGAAGATGGCAAAGAAAATGGATTTGTTTCAGAAAATTATTTCTCGAAATTCTTACCAAAGCTCTGTGGTGATGTACATTAGAAAAAAGCATTAATTGCTTCTATCTCTAGATACTTGTGTTTTTTCTAATTGTATAACTACTTGTCAGCAAAGAAATCTGCAGGATCTAATATGGAACCTAAGGACCTTCCTTCTGTGAATGAAAAACCCTGTGAAATTCAGCCAGTAACTCTAGGTAATTCTGAATCAAATGAAGCTGAATGTTGTGAATTTGGAGTTGACTGGAGAAGCGGGCTGAGCAATGAAACCACTGTGGTTCCTGAAAAGCATTTCTCAATTTTTCCGACTGAAGACACTATTTCTGACCAAATGTTGAACTTCTCTTTAAGTGGAGTAACATGTGAAGACAAATTTGTTGGTGAAAAAGTTGCATTTAATGAATCTAACTATGCTACCGCCGATACTCCTGAAGGGTTAGTCATAGAGAAATGCAATACGGATGAATCATTACTACCTCTGCCCAACCAGAACTGGAGTTACATTGAAAGTTTCATAAATGAGAACAAGGATGATTTTTTGGATCTCTGTACGACAAATGAATTTTCAACTAATTTAATTGGTGAAGAGGACAGTGACAGTTTTTTATTTGATGATGATTCAACATTAAGCAGTGATGTATGTTCGTTAAAGATAAGGTACGAGTCTTTTCAGGACAACATAAGGGAGCAAACTAATTTCCAGGAAGATGCACAGCTTAATTTTTTCCCCAGTATCCAATGTAATGGAACCAAGAAAGTTGCAAAAACCCCTATAAAAAATAATGCTGTTTCTCCTGGGTTTATTCCAGAAGGAGGAAAAGGATGCAATGGTCAGGAACGTAGCAAGTTGTATGAATTGGAAACTAACCAGTGTCTTTTATCAGGTGTTTTTCTGGATAACTGGAAAGAAGGTGGCCAGGATTCAATCGATTCAGTTTGTTTATCCTCCATTATAGATGAAGATCAGGAAAACTGGCAATTATTAAGAAAAAATGCTCAGAGGTGTTCAAAGCAAACCAATTACACATTGAGGGCTAAACGACAAATACGGTACAGTGATGATTATTTATACGATATTGATTCCTTGGAGACTGTGAAACTATCAGGTACAAAGGACCATATTACAGAATCAACACAGGAAGATGATGATGACTGGTGCCCTCGGAAAAGAAGAAAGACTGGGAAAAAAGAGGCACCTGTTGTAATCAAATATATAATTGTCAATCGATTCAAAGGCCACAAAAGCATGCGTGTAAAAATTAGTAAATTAGACTCCACAGAGAAGCAAGTTCTATTGACTGATGAATTTGTTAAAAAATACCAGAAACTTTCACCACTTAAGGATTTTTTGCCTCCAGTTCCTTACAGTTGTAATGTGTACCCTATTCAAGAAAGGGATGATGGAAAACTAAAACCTTGCTCTGGTGCTGGAATGTCTTACATGTTCTTTGCTTCTAAAAATAAAAAACACACCCTTGTTAACAAGATGTCATCAGTTAAAGTAGGACACACTTTGAACAGGCCAAATGATGGTATCCTTGAAGCAAACACAGGTATATCTACAAAGGCCCCAAAATATGATAAATCAGTGTATGAATTTACAGATGAAGTAGAGTTAAAGCGCATCACAATTAGGACTGTGAGTGAGCCAAACCAGTTGAGACTTGTGCATGAAGACTTGAAACAACTAAAGAGCAAACAAGATGTGTTTTCAAAGAGAGGGAAAGCAAATAGCCAGATTGGTAAGGATACCTTTGATAGAAATTCTGCAAGAAGTGCAAATGGAAAGTCTCCAGTTCCACATGCAGAAATGCACAGAAATTCAGGTCAGTGTAATGCTGCTTCTCCTTCTCCTTTACCTAATTTTAACACAGCTAGCTTGCATTCCCCAGCATTCCATGGCAAATTAGAAGCACATAGTGGCTTACTTTCTCCAGTTCCAGCTACCAGCTGCCCCGAGTGGCCTGTACCATCTGCTTATAATACGCTCACAATCCCAGAAATCTCTGGGGGATATTTCCGGTCTCTGCTTGATGGAGATGATCCCTCAATTAACACACACCTTCAGCTTTCCTCCCAGCATTCTTCTGTCAATGGGCAGTGTAACAAAATTGTAACAGAAAACCCATTTTCTTCTCCACAGCAAAGACAGAGTGATGATCGTGCCACACGGTGCAATGGTGGTGAGCCAAATATATGTCAGCATTTGGAAGAAAAGTCACAAGTTCAGCAAATGTGGAGTGTAGAAACTGTTCAGAATCTGCATTTGCACGGGGGGATGGGAAAAGATCTTTTTCACTTGTGGGCAGATGACTCAGAAAATGAAAGCCTGGTACAGGTTGAAGCTGAAAAACGACCAACTACAAACAGGAACTTGAATCACCATGTTTTTACGTCTCACAGTAGTCAAAATGAAATGAATGTCAACTGCAGTCAAAAATATTTGAATGAAAAAACAAACCAAACCCTTCCTTCAAAAGACTCCTTGTGTATTTTGGACATTTCAAACTTTACTCCAGCAAGAGTGAAGCAGAGGTCTTGGTCTAGATTTTCACAGGTGAACACACCTGGAGTCCTTTCTGAAACCAACATATCCTTGGACCAGTGCAGATGTGATCAGGTTTTCAATAAGGTCGGGCCACCAAGTTTGTGTGTAAATCAGTGGCAGACATGTGGTGAGCTGAATAGAAATGTGAAAACTTACTCCTTTACTAGTGATCCATCATGTATGTCATTTTCACAAAGTGCAAGACCTTTTCATTCACAAGCTTCTGATCATATAAATTCCACAAGTAATTGCAAATTTAATAAGGCAATAAACTTCACTAGAACAAAGATTTTGAATACAAATGCAAGTCAATGGGATGAAAAAGCTCTTCATGAATACAGAGGTTATAGTACTGAGATAGAAACTATAAAAGTAGAGACTATTGAAAAGAATGATGATGCTTCACTTGAAAAAGAAGCAGTTGAAGTTCAAGGAAACACTTCGGGTGGGTCGTATGCTGAGCAGATGAACCAATCTGAAAAGGCCTACAAACCTACAAAAGGATTTACAAATAAAGATTTAGAAATGTGTGCTAAACTGGTGAAAAAAGGTTTAATAAATACAAAATCCAAACTTCCTATAAATGGAGAAAATCTGAATGGAAAAGATGACTACTGGCTGGTACCTACAGAGTCCTGTGCAGATCTGATGGGAGAAAATCATATAGGAAGCAGAGTATTAAATGGTCATCAGAGGGAATTTGAAGAACCTGACAATATCCTTTCTAATATTGTCTCTGGAATGGCAGCAGTTCAGCGGTTTATGATGGCCTCTGTGGAACCAATGTTAAACCCTGGAGACGTTGTTCTGTCTGCAATTAATCCGTCTGCAGAACTGAAGAATAGTTACAAATGGAAATCCAAACCATTGTATGCACTGCACATTGGTGCAAAAGATTTGAAAAATAAGAAGTCACAGCATGGTTCAGAATGCATTCCAAGCAGGGATAGCCCAAATAATGAATCTGTCAATCGTATCTCATCTTGCTGTGCTCAAAATGTATCCAACCCTGTTACACAACCAAACTGACTTCAGCAGATCTACATGCAGTGCACTTCATAGCACTAGAAACTGTACAGTAGCTGGATTTAAAAAGGAAAAATCTATAATGTGAATCATCAATTTTACTACCTCGCCCTACAGTAGATTACAATAGTGATTTTAAGTCCTGTCTTATATATTTAAAACAGTACTTCTGATTCACTCTTATCCAGCATATAGCTCCCTTTTAAGACAAAAAAGGGTCATGTTAAGTAAATATTTCAATAATCCATAAAATGTCTTCTTTACACAAATTACAAAACATTATTTGTGTTTTTGGTACATATCTGCTCAGAAATGTGCCTTTATTTAACTGTTGCATATCATGGGAAATCAGCACAACATACTTTACAAAGTAACAGCAATGAGCAATCTGTTTACAGCTTTGCCATTAGTCCCGACTCTATTTAATGTGTGTAACAAATTACCTGAAGCATTAGTATGTTACAAAACTGGGATAACTACTGTATTTTAATACTTGCAATTCAGCTGATGTAGTGAGAAGATTGAATTTTGTCAGGAAATCCACAAGTAAGCACTGAAAAGTGATACTCCCAAGTAATCACTGGCTGTACTATAAAAGAAACCAGTAAAAACACACTTGTATTAATTGACCTGATGTTGCAGTCTTGAAGAATTATCCATTTTGTAAATTTTGCATAAAGTTTATATGCAACTTTTTAAGAATGAAAGTTGTCAGTCCTTTTCTTAGGTCTTTTTAATGTTGAATTGGGTCCTGTAGCTCAGTGGTTAGAGCACTCGCCTCGCAAGTGAGAGACCTGGCAGGGCGAAACGTTGGACAAGTTTCCTTACTCCACATGCCTCTGTTTACCTATAGTAAGTAGGAGCCTGGTTGTTAGTCGATAGAGGGTAATAATTCCTTCAAAAAAAACATAAAATAAACTGGTCACTCAATCCATGACTGTTTGTGGGACACTGCTGTGTGCAGTTGGCCTGCTGCATTTCACCCATAAAATATACAGTCAATTCACTTTACAGTATATCCTGTGAAGCACTTTGAGACGTCTCGAAGACGTGATAAGGCGCCATATCAAATGGAAGGATTATTATTACTTTATCGTGATTTTATCCGAAACCTTTTTACTAAATATGCCTCTAAATACTAAGTGCAAACTTCCACACTGATGAACCAGGCTAAAGGGTTAGGGAATGTGCAGGTGGAGCTAATTAAATGGAAACTAAGCTTACTGGAGAAAGGGAGGGAGAAGAGAGGATGTATATTCACAACAACAAAAAATTGCAGTTATATAGATAGCACCTTTCATGTCGGGAGGATGTGCCACGATGATGGATAGTCAAGGGTTTGTACCCTAGCTGGGGTAGGGATCGGGGGAGGGTGGGATCATCATGGTGAAAAAGTACTGGCTCTTGTGTCATTATTACACAAGCCTCATATTGTCCATCAATTTTATTTTTGTGTGTTCTGGTCTATTTACAAATGTATTGACAAAATAGAAAACCTCCACCTATGAATGTTCATAGAATTGGCCAAATTGTATTTCAATGGATTTAATTGACTTATTGTAAGGGTGTTAAGTGGCTGGTTATATATATTGTACATTTGAATGTAACTGACAAGGTAAATTTTGTTTTTCCCATCAATGGTTATGGATAAGGTAGAAGATTTGGATGAGTTTAGTGTTAGTCTAGCAGTGCTAAGTGACTTATTTGTGTGATTTAGTAGGTTCTGCAAACCTACACAGCTAGATGCAAACAGCAGAAGATTGTCTAGGAACCAAGCACCAGAACTTTATTGTTGCCAGCTAGGCAAACCCCAATCTAGATGGCTTATTAAGAGGGTCATTCATCATAAGGTTGAACAGGGCAAATGGGTCTTTTGTCATGGATATGGGATCATTTGGGCACCTTGTTTTCAACCGTCCCGTCACATGTGCAAAACATCCTTGAGCAGGGTTGAAATGAATATGCTTTACGCACCTTATATAATTCTATGAAAATTCATAGAGGTTTTCTATTTTGCCTATACACTTTTAAACAACCCAGAGTTCACACAAATAAAATTTGTAGCAAAATGAAGCTTGGCCATTAGACTTGAGTATACAAAACAATGTTTCTTTAAGAATATACATGCTCTCTCCCCTCTGCCCGCCCACCTATGAGTTTTAAGTACAGCTTCTTATAATGTTGCAGTTAACCTATTAAACAAACTTCATCTGTAGTATAAACTAAATATTGTAATGTTGAGATATTTCATCCAATTTTCATTCCACTTAAGAGGCACATAATGTTAGTCTTCAGCTTACCACATTGTCATCACAAATCACAAAAGAATTAAAAAATTGTGCCAATAATGTCTGTTATACTGCAATCCAAATGTTAGATCTTGTAAGTAACCCGAGTATGCATTTTCCTGGGGAATTGCCATGAGTGCTGCAAAAGAAATATAAATTGTGCCCATGTGTTCAGTTTATACTGTGTTTTAGCTCAAAAAAATTGGTGAGCCAGGATATCTGTCACATGTCCTATCACCATATCTAAGAGTATCCAAACCAGACGAACTGTGTCTGCATTTGAATGCTGCATCCTGCTTGCCTAATTCCAGAGTATTAGGTATATGGCTGTGAGAACCAAGGCTTAAGGACCACAGTGTAAATTGGGTACTAAAGTCCAACTAAAACTGCAAACAGCAGTTTCCACAAGCTTTTTGCCGGACTATCCTTCCTATTAAGGCTTTGGTTTGCAAAGTAGGAAAAATTCTTGCTCCCAGTGAAATATTAAACACAACTAGTCAAATGCAGATAATTTTAAAACTAGCTAGACTGGCTCATGCCTGTGAAACAAGATTTTCCAAGGATAATGTAGTTGTTTCACATCACAGAAATCATAGGACTATTCCTGTCAGAAATACTGTGTTCTACAAGCTGTTCATCTTCCTACATAAATATAACTAGCTAACCATTAAACTAGTTATTATCATTGTACATTTGTATTATTGGTGCAAACATTTCAATTAAGTTTGACTTTTTAATTATTTTAAAAAATATAACTAATTTCTCTTTTTTAATTGGAAGTGTTTTGCACTTTGGGTATAAAGGAAGAAAATGTAGGGGAAACATCAAGGAAATAGACTGGGATATTGGAATAAGATTAATGGAGAAGTCTGATCCATGAGCATTGGTTCTATCTGCACAACCCAAACTTCAAGGTATTCATTTTTTACAATATGAAAGATGTGGAGTAGTCTACAGAATGTTTTCTACATTTTTATAATTGTAAGCTTATTTGTTTGCTATATGGTGGTCTTGGAAGGCGTTTAGTTCATTTCTTCAAGCAAAAATGCAAGTGTTCTTGTGAGCATATCCTGGTGATTTAAAATATTCAGGACTAGATAATTGATACTCCAAGAGAGTATTTGTAGGATTTGGCTGGAGTATTCGCCACAAAATGCATAGTCACTCCACCTTACAGTATATCCTGTGAAGCCCTTTGAGATATCTTCTGGACTTGAAAGGCTCTGCATCAAATGTAAGGATTATTGTAGAGTATCAGAAAAGAGTTAATGCATTGCTCATACTCTTCAAACATGTTCTTCACCAAATAACTATAATCCCACTCTGAAATTTGTTGATATCATCTGTCTCTACTATCTCCCATTATGTGTAAAGTAGTTAAATCTAAACACTCTGCTGTCTTATTTTCTTCTGAACTTTAATCCATATATTCTCATTATAGAATCTGTAATCATGTATATATTGTAGCTACTATTAGGAATATTTATTAGGATCCATTTATCTATACTCTTTACATCTCGCACTTCTCTAGCCTCTCCTTGTAACTCATTGTCCAATTTCAACTATTAATTTAGTTGCTCTTTAATGCACTGTTACACCCTCTCAAATGCCAATATACCCCTATTATAATGCAGCGCCCAGATTGCCACAGTTAATACCCCAGTGTAATCAAACCAATGTCCTATTTAAGTTCATCGTCACTTCCTGTGATTTGTTCTATTCCTTTACCTACAAACCCCAAGATCTCTTTTGATATCTACTTTGTATAACAGAACTTGATGTGCAACATAAAATTTTATCTCCCATAGTACTAACTTAAATTATTTCTGTCCCCTCGCTGCATATTTCTAGATATCTGTGTCATTTTCTGGGTCACTTTTTTTTGCAAATATAAAATATTCAATTATCTATCTGCATTAGAGAAACTGGTATTTTAGACTCCAGAAGCCATTTACTAGCTATGAAGATATGGCCATTCATAGTCCCATTTTTCCAGTTCTTTGTTGCTTAAGCATACATTTTATTTTAGTAAAGTGAGGGGGAAAAAAAATTGTTCTTCGCATTAAGTAATCCAGTTTTACAGAATATTTTGTTCTCTTCTCCCCTTACTCTACAATTTGTTTTGCTCCAAACCTCTTTGTTTTGCTCCAAACATCTTGGCTTTGTGCTCATTGTTGTTTTCTCCTTTATTTCATGTATCCATATATTTCAACTCAATTTCATCTGAAATGTTGGTTAACAACATTTCTAGTGACCAAAGCCTACATGGATTACACAAATTCAGGAACGACTTGGACGGAATTGTGCTCTAACCTTTATTCTAAAGGAAGTTAAAAGTGTTTTTTTTACTTTAGCCCATGCCTCCCTCTCCTGGCAGAACTCTGCTGCTGCAGTATTTAATGTATAGAGCAGGCCCTTTAAATTCAAGACCAATCTTTTTTTCCCTGTATCTATTAAATTCTTTCACGCTGCCAAGATTATTTACTTTGAATGGCCTTTTAAAATAGTGAAGCATCAATAAACATTCAAATATACACACAATTATTATATATATATATATATAAAACAAGATCCAACTGTTAGACAATTTTCTGTAAACATGTTACCAAAGAATACAATGGGCAAAATATTTGTGTTTGAAAGTTTTTATTAAAAATTCTAAATAATAATCTTGGTCAAAACATCAGTAAATTGTAGCCTAGATTTTCATAGGATGATTCGCAAGTGTTATTTTTGTTCTGAAAAGACTGAACTGTTTTTTGTCATGCTAAATTACCAGCAAATACTCAAAATAAAAATGTTTTGCCTCTTAAGACTTCTTCATTTGTTAAATTCCACTGTGTAAAGTGTGCCTTTTAATCTTTTTTACAAAATTAAACTGCTGATATTTCGTATTCTTTGCCATGGATAACTAATTCAGAACAAATCAAGTTGAATATAAATCACTCTTTTTAAGGTTATTGAAGTTTATATATTTTTAAAAATAAATATTTTAACATGTCTTGTTAGAATTTAATTTGCTTTATATAAATGTAGATCATCCAAAAATATTTTGTGAAATTGATGGAAAATATGGATAGTTTTAGATAATGCAAACCAAACCATTTAAAAATGCAATTACCAATAAAGTAAAACAAAAATAAGAGAAATGACAATACTGAGTTAATGGATATTTATTGTGCCTCATATCAGTTTTGTGAATTGAATAACTTTTTTTGCCATTGTTTTATTGAACTACTATCAAATAAATGTGGATTTATAGGTCATCCACCTAGTGCTCTTACACTACATGCCATAAATATCAGTATTTTTTTTTAAAAATTGATCTGAGTCCCTCATCCTCTATGTACTTTTAATTTGCACTTTTTTGTTTCTATCTCCTGCTCTACGCACATCCTCATTTTGAGAATCTTTGCAACTCATGACTTGTTTTTGATCATGTTAGTTCAGCATCAAATTACTGCTTATTACAGTCTTCAGTGGATTGAATGTTGACGTTTCGTCAGTTCCATGAACATAATGCTAGTTTCTACCGTTTGTACAGATTGTAGTTCTTGAGCAATTACATCAATCTATAAATGGGCATTTATAGACCTCTTATGTTGTAATACTTGGAGTTTTAGTTCTGCAAAAACCAAATTGTATTATCAGACATTTAGTAAAAGCCTCCAAAAAGGTAAAATACTGTGAATCCTTGTATAATTTGCATTGTGCCAATTTTTATATATACAGTTAAATGTATTTTAGTATTTTTCGTAGAAATGTGCTGTGTTCAGCTTAGTGAGCTGCCTCTTCTACTCAGGGTTGCANTTTTTTTTAGAAGACTGGAACAACTACTGAATACATTAAAATTATTTGAACCATCATTACTGGGTTTAGAAACCATATCCCAGGATGTACTGTTACCTGTGCTTGCAATGCTGATAAAGGCCACCCTAGTAATGTAACTTTATATATGTGCATTATTAATAGATATAATGACTAGAACAGTATTTGTCTAGTAGTTTGTACTGCTAGAGAATTGTGATTTTTTTTATTGTACAGTATATGTTCTACAATACCTGTTTTGTAAAAAAAAATCAAATAAAATATTACTCGGATCTAGGGTGTGGACATTCTATGTCGGTAGAAGCCATGACAACACTAGCTGTTTTTTTCAAACACATGTAAAGACAAAGTTACTAAACTTTTAACTGACGTTTCACCTACCTCTTCATATCATTAAAAATCTTTCAACACTACAACAATAACCTGCATTTATATAGCACACATATGAGGGGTAGCTTATGGGAGCGCTTACCAATGGGATAGTTTGACACCGAGCCAGGAAAAAGGGGAGGTGACCTTAGGCGCCATTAAATAAAGAGGTTCTCGGGGTCCTGGCCAAATAAATTGGTTGTTCATTTCATGGCTGTTTGTGGCCCAGTGTGAAAATGGACTCATTTGACTTCAACCTCATTTGTGGAGTCCTGTAGCTCAGTGGTTAGAGCAATCGCTTTGCAAGCGAGAGACCTGAGTTCAATTCCAGGCAGAGGGCGAAACCTTGGGCAAGTTTCCTTACTCCACACAGAGCCTAATAATAATCCCTCCAAAACCAAAAACAATAATAAATTGGTCATTTTCAATCTACGACTGTTTGTGGGACATTGCTGTGCGCAATTGGCTGCCGCGTTCGCCCACAAATATACAGTCAATTCACTTTACAGTGTGTTCTGTGAAGCGCTTTGGGACTTCCTCCTGACGTGAAAAGCGCTATATCAAATGCAAGGATTATTATTATTAAAAACAGATTCTACAATTGACAACTACCTGTGAAGTATGTTGAGACACCACTCGGCAAAACATCAAATGCAAAGATTAACATTTTTGTCACACAAACATTGCTGTGTTACAGATCTGTACTTTTTCTCCTCCTTCCCACATCTATCCCTTCCCACATCTATCCTTTCCCAGTGTCTCAGGCCTGTGGCAAGTCCCTCACCCCTTTTGTGTCACTATTAATGGCCAGGCCTTCAGCTACTAAGCTACTACCTTCCTAAACTCCATCCCTCTACTATTCTGCCTCACCTCCAGTCTATAAATCTTGCCGACAACCCTATCTCTGTCTTCCTCCTTGGCATTCTTATGAAGTGCTCTTGAGACATTCTCCCTCTCCACCACTCACTTTCTCCCTCCCCGCCACTCCCCCGATCTCCCCGCCCGCCACTCCCCCCCGGCTCTCCCCCGCACCACTCCCCCGGCTCTCCCCCCGCCACTCCCCCGTCTCCCCCCGCCACTCCCCCCCCCGGCTCTCCCCCGCACCACTCCCCCCCCACTCACCACTCCCCCCGGCTCTCCCCCCGCACCACTCCCCACCCGGCTCTCCCCCCGCACCACTCCCCCCGGCTCTCCCCCCGCACCACTCCCCCCCCCTCACCATTCCCTCCCGGCTCTCCTCCCCGCACCACTCCCCCCGGCTCTCCTCCCCACCACTCCCGCCGGCTCTCCTCCCGCACCACTCCCCCGGCTCTCCCCCCGCACCACTCCCCCCGGCTCTCCCCCGCACCACTCCCCCCGGCTCTCCCCCCGCACCACTCCCCCCGGCTCTCCCCCCGCACCACTCCCCCGGCTCTCCCCCCCCCCTCCCCCCCCCCCCCCCTCCCGGCTCACCCCCCCCCACTCCCTCCCCCTCACCCCCCCCCCCCCCCCCCGGCTCTCCCCCCCCCCCCCCCCCCCCCCCCCCCTCCCCCCCACTCCCCCCCCCCCCCGGCTCTCTCCCCCCCCTCCGCCCCATTCTGTTTCCCAGTCAGTGGCTCAGTCCCCCCCCCCCCCCCCCCGGGGCGGGCGGTTGCTATGCGCGTTGCCAGGGAAGCCGAGTCTGTGGCCGCACTGATGGCGGAGCCTCGCCCGCGGTCGGGCCCCGACACTCGGCTCCCAGCAGCAGCTCGCGAACTGGTAACCGGGCCCGGGGGTGACTTCCCGCAGTGAAACCGCGATGTTGCCGGTCTCGGTGCCGGCTCCTCGGGAGTGGCCGCCGGTGTGGAAAGGGGACAGCGTCCGGCCGAGGAGAAGCGTCTGAGCGGCAGAGGGACGGGGTGGGTGGGGGGGGGGGGCGGCCTGAGGATGGAGCCCTACTCGTATCCTTCACTGACCTCATGTGGCTTCAGTCTGTGAACTGCACCTCGATCCTCCCCTCCTCCTTTCTTTCTTTCTCTCTCTCTCTTCTTTCTTTCTTTCTTTCTTTCTTTCTTTCTCTCTCTCTCTTCCTTCCTTCCTCCCTCTCTCCCTCTTTCTTTCTTTCTTTCTTTCTTTCTTTCTGTCTCTCTCTTTCTTTCTTTCTTTCTTTCTTTCTTTCTTTCTTTCTTTCTTTCTTTCTTTCCTTTCTTTCTTTCCTTTCTTTCTTTCTTTCTTTCTTCTCTCTCTCCTCTCTCTCTCTCTTCCTTCCTTCCTTCCTTCCTTCCTTTCTGTCTCTCTCTTTCTCTCTCTCCCTCTCTCTCTCTCTCTCTCCCTCCCTCCCTCCCTCCCTCGGCTCATCACGCAGCAACGCGTGAAAAGTTCACGTTTCACGCCGACCCTTCAAATCAAAGCAAATGTCTTGCGGATTTTTCCTCCCGTCGCCACAACTCCAAATAATGCCCCGGATCAAATCGGCCGCCGCCCGCTCCGCGGCAGCCGCTTGCGGGGCAACCCCGGGATACGCTCGGCGGTACGTCCTGGGAAGGGCTTCGAGACGTCGCGGCAGCACGATCAGGCGCGATATCACCGACAAGGGTTATCACCACCGTTACCGTTACTATCCGCACATCTAACATTCCTTTGAAAATCCTATTTGATACAGTACTGTACGTGTGCCGCGTTGCGCCCACACATATGCAGTCAATTCGCTTTACCGTATTTTGTGCGACGCGCTTTGAGACGTCTCAAAAGACGTGAAAAGCACTGTTGTCAAATACAAGGATTATTATTGTATTATTATATGTCTGTGATTTAACTAGTCCTGTACTGTGGATGTGTTGGGAGGATGCTGTCAAACAGTGACCCCACATCAAACCCCAAACTTTCCCCATCTTTCTCATTCCCGCTGCCACCTCTCAAACTCAAACTCCCCCTCCCCACACACTCATGTATTTTGTAGCGCCGGATCACTTTGAAAGTTCTTAAAGTGCTTCACAATTAGCTATGTACGACTAATAGGACAATTAAAGCCCCATAAACGGCCATAAGGTAAATGGTCCATTTGTCTATAGGAATGTTGGCCACCGAGTGGAAGGCAGAGCACTTCCCTTTCTCATTTGTTTACAAATAGTGCCATCAGATTAGATTATTGATATCTAATGGTTGATTTCAGTCTTCACCTTAACTCCCCTTGCCCCATCTCCTCACATTTCACAGCCCTCCTCACCTCCCTTAACGTCATCTTCCACGTAAAGTCCCTGACCCACAATTGTGGCCAGAACCTCGATCTCGTTATTACGCACGGCCTCTGAGCTCCCCATCGCGGACAAAGCCACATCCCACCATTTTTCTATCTCCCTCTCCTCTCACATCCACCTCCACCCTTGAAGAAAGCTCCCTCCTCCCACCAAGTCCCTTACAAACAGACGCCCTCTCCCCCCCCACACACACACAGCCCCCCCACCCCACTGTTCCCCAGCTCGGCATCAAGCTCTGCCACTGTTAAGCGCTCTGATAAGCTACGCCATGTGACGGGTGGTATATAAAAGCAAGTTGTTGATGGTGTCCACCAGAAAACAGGGAGCTGGGACCTCAAGTTTAACATCTCATTCAAAAGATAACACCTCTTACAAATCAGCAGGCTCGCTCAAACTGCACAGGTGTCAGTCAGCCTATGTTATGACCTCAAGTATCAACATTGGTCTTAAACAACTTTCTGATCCAGAGGCCAAGTTCTAGCAAAACAAACTGGTCCACACAGAAAGGATTTTCTTTTCTATAATGGAAATTGTTTTCTTGGTGTTTATTCCTGTATTTATTTATCCTTAACTCCTGCATCTGGTAGGCGTGTAAAAATTCAACCGAAAATTAAATTTGATGAAGAACACCAAATATTACTGGAAGAGCAAAAAGCAAATCGAGCCATGGCTCGAAAACTTACTTTGGAGACAAATCGAAGAAGAAGGTAAGTGGAAAAGATTAAGTAGTAGNAAAAAATGTTAATTATTTGATTCTTGGAACACTGGATTACAAACAAAATATCAAAAACAAACTTTTTTAAAATTTTAGTTTTGTTAAGATACTGTTTATGTTTCTATCCTCCTTGGAGAGGAGGTAAGCGGGGTCTCCTTGAAGCTGAGCTGGCTCCAAAGTTTCAACCTTGACTAATTTTGAATAAAAATAATAATAATAATAATCCTTAATTTTGATATAGGGCCTTATCAAGTCTTCGAAACATCTTTACAGTATATTACAGAATTTACTGTAAAGTGAATTAACTGCAGCCTTCTGCACACGTAGCTTTAGGTATTTCCTAATTACAATTCAAGACCATGTAAATCAAACAATTGTTGTGTTCTATTAAAATAATTAAACAAATTTGACTCGCCAAATGTCCTACTCCTGTTCTTGTATTCCCAAGCGCTCCCAATATATATATAGAAAACCTATTTGGTTATATCTCAAGGCTTTTCCCCTTTTGATCAATCCTTACCCTAATGTTATACCTAGGATCTTCTCATATACTAGCTGAGTGTACCCAGTACTATACGGAAAGAAGCTAACCGATTTCTAGATAATGGGAGTATTACAATACAAAATTACATTTCACGTCAAGAGAACGACCCAAGGCACAAGATAAATCACGAGTAAATCTCTCTCGTGTAAGTTGGCTGAACCTTTAGATTGGATTGTCCTGAAAGCTAATGTGGAGATACCTGACCCCCAGGAAAGTTTAATATTGATAAGTGAACGATAACCAGCCGCTGCCATGGCTTGGTTGGCTCTGAATGGGCCCAAAGCCCTCAATCCGTCTAAACTAAAGCCACTTTGAGATGCGGCCAGACTTCAAACAAATGTCACCAAATGAGCCCTGTGTAAGAGGAGGCCGGTCTCTGTAATTGAAATGAGGATTCATCCCAATATTGGAAGTGCTGAGAAACAACATTTATTTTCTATACCTTGGGGAAATATTTTGAACACTGTCCTTTCTGCCTCCAGATTTAATTTTGCTTTCAAAAAATGCAACATGGAAGTGTTGCCTTGATGTGTATCATACCATGCCTATTTTAATGCTGGTTCTTTAGGTTCTGTTTTAATTGTTGCCAATCGTAATATGTCATTTAAAGAGTGATCAATTTTTAGAATTGGCAGTGCCCCTACATCTACAATCAGAGTGCAGGAAAAAGCAATTGCATGAATCACTTGCAACACAAAAGAAAAGCAATGAATAAGGGAGCATGTCTAGGCAAGTACTTGTTCTGAAAAGAACTCCAAGCTTCAGATTGTACAAAACAAATGATAAACATACAGCATGTAGTGGCATAATTCAAAATGCTGCCCTAGTGATGTTATCTATCAGGCAATGCTAGTTACAGTTTTAGGAATGACGAAACTATAGTCAATGTAAGTATGGTATACTATAGCTCGGTGGTTAGAGTACTTGCCTCACAAGCAAGAGGACCTGGGTTTGATTCCTGGGCAGAGCGAAATATTGGGCAAGTTTCCTTACTCCATACATCTCTGTTTACCAAGCAGTAAGTAGGAACACAGTTAGTCGATTGGCGGATCGCTTTTTCAGGGGTAATAATCCCTCCAAAATAAATAAATAACGATAATTTGGTCACACAATCCTCAAATGTTTGTGGGCCACTGCTGTGCATAATTGGCTGCCGCGTTTCATCCACAAAATATACATAGAATTACATAGAATATACAGCACAGAAACAGGACATTCGGCACAACTGGTCTATGCCGGTGTTTATGCTCTACGTGAGCCTCCTCCTGCCCTTCCTCAACCCTCATGTACTTATCTAGCTTCCCCTTAAATGCATCGGGTGGGCGAGGGGGGGGCGGCCGGGCAAGGGTGAGCGGGCAGGCGGGTGAGGGGGGGCAGGTGGGCGGGGGCGGCAAGGGGCAGGCAAGGCGGGCGGGCGGGAGGGGAGTCAGGAGGGCTGGGGCGGGGGGCGAGGAGGTGGGGCGGTGGGTGGAGGGGGGTGAGGAGGTGGGGGGGCGGAGGGAGGGCGGGCGAAGGCGGTCGGACGAAGGGGGACGGCCAGGCGAGTGTGTGTCTGTGTCTGGGAGAGGGTGTGTGTGTGTGGGAGAAGGTGTGTGTGGGGGAGGGAGAGGGCGTGTGTGTGGGGGGGTGGGGGGGAATGAGTGTGTGTATGTTTGGGCGGAGAGGGTGGGTGTGCATGTGGGAGAGAGTGGGTGTGTGTGTGGGAGAGGGTGGGTGTGTGGGAGATGGGGTGGGGGTGTGTGTGGAAGAGGGGTGGGGGTGTGCGTGGGAGAGGGGTATGTGTGGGGGGGAGGTGGGGGGTGTGGGAGAGGGGGTTTGTGGGAGAGGGTGTGTGTGTGTGAGGGAGAGGGTGTGTGGGGGAGAGGGTGTGTGGGGGAGAGGGTGTTTGTGTACGTGGGAGGGGAGAGGGTTTCTGTGTGTTTAGAGTCCTGTAGCTCGAGCAGTGGTTAGAGCACTCGCCTCTCAAGCGAGAGATCTGGGTTTGATTCCCGGCAGGGCAAAAGCTTGGGCAAGTTTCCTTATTCCACACGCCTCGTAATAATCCCTTAAGAAAAAAAAAGGTCACTTCAATCCATGTTGTTTGTGGGACACTGCTGTGCGCAATTTGACTACCGCATTTCGCCCACAAATATACAGTCAATTCACTTTACAGTATATTCTGTGAAGCGCTTTGAGATGTCTAGAAGACGTGAAAAGCACTATACAAATGCAAGGATTATTATTATATTATTATTATTATCTATGCTATTTGCCTCAACTACTCCTTGTGGTAGCAAGTTCCACATTCCCATCACTCGCTGGGAAAAGAAGTTTCTTCTGAGTTCCCTATTTGATTTATTGGTGACTATTTTATATTTATGGCCCCTGGTTTTGGTCTCCCCCACAAGTGAAAACATCTACTCTATGTCTATCCTATCATAATTTTAAAAACCTCTATTAGGTCACCTCTTTTCAAGAGAAAAGAGTCCAAGCTTGTTCAGCCTTTCCTGATGGTATAACCTCGCAGTTCCAGTATCATGCATGTAAATCTCCTTGTAACTCTCCAGTGCCTCCATAATATAATATGGGGACCAGTACTCTAAGTGTGGTCTAACCAAGGTTCGATATACGTTTAGCATAACTTCCCTGTTTTTCATTTCTATCCCTCTAGAAAGGAACCCCAATAACCGGTTTGCTTCTTTTATTGCCTTAGTAACCTGCATCGCCACTTTTTGCAATTTATGTATCTGTATCGCTAGATCCTTTTGCTCCTCTACTCCATTTATATTCTTATTTTCCAGGCAGCACGTGACCTCCTTATTTCTCCTACCAAAATGTACCACCTCACACTTATCTATATTGAAATTCATTTGCCAATTAAATGCCCATTCAGTAAGTTTATTAATGTCTTGTAATTTGTTGCAGTCCTCCCCTGTATTAACTGCACTCCCCAATTTGGTGTCGTCCACAAATTTTTAAATTGTACTTTTAAGAATACAATCCCAGAGTCCAAATCGTTAATGTAAATTGTGAACAACAGTGGTCCCAATTCCGATCCTTGTGGAACACCACTTCCCACCCTCTGCCAGTCTGAGTAGTTACTCTTTACACCTACTCTCTGTTTTCTGTCTTGTAGCCAGCTTTCTATCCATTCTGCTGCTTTTCTGCTGACTCCACATGCTCTGACCTTATTCATTAGTCTATTATGTGATACCTTATCAAATGCCTTTTGGAATTCCCAAAATATTACATCTACTGCATGGATTATTATTATCATAATTATAGTGGATAGAACAGCGTTTGTTGGTCTCAGCCATGGATGGCGAGGCTTAATTGGGCCCAGTATCCCCAGAGTTAGGGAGGGGAAAACAAGCTAGCATGAGAAACCTGGGGACCAGGCAAATAATAGGACACACTAAAAAGGGCTAAACAGAAAATTTGGAGTTTGAATATTTGGCCACATTTTTCCATTTTGTAAATTTCTCACCTTTTACTATCGAACTAAGCATTATTCTCCACTGAGAATCCAGTCAACCCAGTGACCAATATTTTGAATGTGATTCATGTATCGGGGTGTGACTCTTTGGAGCAGTTCTTTTGTCTTGCCCATGTAATCCTCTAAGACTCCTTGTAGCATTTCACGGTTCTTAATGTCTTTTTGAATATTGATCTAGCTTTAATTATTCTTTTNAAAAAAAGTAATTCATTCAGAAAACCGTACCTCATATTAAAACAACATCCCAAATGTGGGCGCAGGAAGAGGATCTTAGAATCTTATCAATTGAGCAGCTAATAGCTAGTAATTATACAAATAAAAGAGTACATCAATATACTGTAAGCACGATCAAAAAAGGAAGGGCCTTAGACGGGATTCGAAGGTGGGAAGGGAGGGAGCAAGGCGGAGGGATTGAGGGAGGGAGTTCCAGAGTCTCTGGGTTAGTGGCTGAAGGCACAGCCACCAATGCTGGAGCGGAGGGAACAAGGCACAAACAAGTGGCCTCAACCAGACGAGCAGAGGCAGCAGGTGGTGGAGTGGGTGTCAAGTAGATCGGACAGGTAGGGAGGTGCGAAGGAATGAAGGGATTTGAAAACAAGTCAGAGGATCTTGAAATCATCAGTTCCATAACTGGGAGCCAGTGGAGCCTGGTGTGATGGAGATACAGAGTTTTGTAGGTGAGTATCCCGGCGGCGGAAATTTGAATTAATTGAATTTTATGTATGGTGGACACATACACACCATATTGGAAGAGACCGCTCGGGAAGCAACAAAGGTGTGGACGAGAGTTTCAGCTGCTTTGGTTGTGAGGTATGGACGGAGGCGGGCAACGTGACAAAGGTGGAAAAAAGTGGTCCTGGTCAGGGGGCGGATGTGGGATAGAAAGGAAAGCTGGGGATTGAACCTGATGCCTAAGCTGTGCATGGGTTCGGTGAGTCTGAGGGAGACCTGCAGGAGAGAAGACATTGACAGGAGCCAAAGATTATGGGTTCCATGTTGCTGACATTCAGCTGCAGGAAATTTGCGCTTATCCAGGCCTTGATGTTCATCAAACAAGCTGGCAGGACATCAGCAGATTGAGAGTCGCAGCTGGAGGAGGAGAAATAGATTTGGGTGTCATCCGCATGAGGAAGTTGACTCCATGTCTGCGGATGACATCGTCGAGAGCGAGCATGTAGTTCCCCTATTTTGACCGTGTTTTATAATGGAGGGAGGAGATTCTACGATGTTCAATATATCCAGAGGAATGACGAGAAAGTAATCTCAAGCAGAGAGAAACCTTGGAAATTATCTATCAATATATGGCTGCTGTACCATGTATAGTATTTTGCATTGTTTTCAGAGCCCTTGAGGAGAAATGCAGAGAGAATGCAGAAAAAGAAAAAAAGTTTAGAGAGGAGGTACTTCAGGAAAGAAAACTGAGACAGCAGAATGCAACTGAGAGGTTTCAGCGAGCACACCTCCCACCATCACAGCGCAAACAAAACCATACAGGTTGGAGAGAAATTATATTAACCCATTTTTGGGGTAAAAAATAGTTGGACCATGGAGTTTTTTCTACTCATCTATCTAAAACGTGAAGAGTAGCATTGAAGTTAAGTGATTTAGCAATGATCTTCATTTAAATTATTATTAAAATTCCCGAATGATTGTGGGAAAAAAGTTTATTTTAACGTGGATTTGATTTTATATATTTCAACTTACATTTTTTTGTAAAGGGATCACTGACAATTATCGGATATATCCCTGGCAAATAGACATTGGGTGGTAGCCTCATTTGAATCTGAATATTTGACTTGAATTACTAAAAGTTAATATGTTCTTCAGTTCCTTTCATAGTGTGTTAAAAAAAACTCCCAGGCTTTGAAAAGCGAATCAATTGATTATCTATCAAACCAGTGCCTATGATTCATGTTAATCTATGTTAATGAATCTATGCCCCCAGCACCACCAATGCTGAGCCAGGCTGCACTGGTTACCAATTACCAAATAGATCGACTTCAAGATCCTCTCACTCATTTTCAAATACCTTCATGCCCTCGCATCTCCCTACCTATCCAATTTGCTTCCCCCCCTCCACCACCCGCTGGTCCAGCTCCGGCCTCCTGTTTGTCCCTCAAGCCCTCCAGTAGCCGCAAATCTATCAGGTCACTTTCTTTCAGTTGCTTGCCCACGATAATGCTAAAAGGTCTTTCTGTGGAGCAATTATGGAAACCAGATGTACCAACAATTGGTCTTTTCACTTATCCACTTGCATTTGGGTAGCAGCAGATGGGTTTTAGCAATGAGTTAGATAAACTGAAAATCTAGAGCTTTAATCTTAAGGTAATGTCATGGTATATAATGTACAGAAAGACTATCGAAGAAGAAAATTTCCGTATTGCAGAGATCACTTTTTGATATTCCAGATCAATGTACTTTTTTTTCCCTGTAACAATGATTATTCTTGTTGATCTTGTTGATTCTGCTGCCTAAAAGTACACCCAAAATCCTTTTGTCTACCTAGGGTAACTCCCTTGTTTACTATGTGCTTAGCATTGCTCTAGAACACAATTCTCAATTTTCTCTAAACCGTGATCAACCAGTTCTGAGTTCTCTTACAATAAAATTTACATAGTACCTTTCATGTCAGGAGAGTACCTCAGAGCACTTAACACTGCTGACTGAGCACATTAAGTGTGGATGGAAAAAGAATAATATTGTTTTTATAGAGGGACGGGCCTTAAGACAGGCTTTTGAACAAGATGAGGGAGTGAGCGAGTTGGAGGGGCTCTGGGATAGAGTTCCAGAAAGCGAAGGCAGAATACAACAGTACAAATTTACATTTATGTAGTGCTTTCATGTCGGGAAAATGTCCCAAGGTGCTTAAACACTACTGGCTGGAAGCCTGCCTGTCAATGATGGGATGGATAGGGCGTTTGTTGAGTGAAATGGGTGGCTGGGATAGTAGGGTTGCAGTGGGTTGTAGGGGTAGGGTCAGGCAAGTTCTGTAGAGGAATTTTCAAGGTGAGAATGAGGATCTTGAATTCAATCCCCTGGGGGATGGGGAACCAATGAAGCCAAGCAAGGATGGGGGTGAGAGGCTCTGATAGCCTGGTGAGAGAGGAGGAACAGTCCAGAATTTTGGATTATCTGCAGCTTGTGTAGAGAAGAGCTGAGGAGTCTGGCGATTGTTGCATGAATATAATCAAGCCTGGTCGTGTTGAAGCATGGACGACCCAGGTTGATGCAGTCCGTGCCTGAGGTGAGAAGGCACTGTGGGAGCCAAGCAGCAGAATCTCTGCTTTGTCAATGTTTAACTGAAGTTGCAGCTCATCCATGACTTGGTGTCTGACAGGTCAGTACAGCAGTAGTCCTGGAATGGAGGGGAGAAGCAGAGAGATAGAGTTAGATGTTATATTTACAGACATATGGAAGTGAACTTTGTGTCTGGGGATGATGTCATCAAGCGGGAGCATATAGATAGAGGAGAGAGGACTGAGGATAGTCCCGAGAAACACTGCATGTGATTCTGCGGGAGCTGGAGGAGAAGCAGTTTGAAGAAACAAAGTGGAGATGCTGAGATAGGTAGGAGTAAAACTAGGATAGAATCGAGAGGGTGGAGCAGAGAGGAGAGCAGGTGGAAAAGGATAAAGTGGTCGACGTTGTCTATGCCCACGGAGAGAATAAAGAGGCAAATTCCTGAAATTAATGTTTTGCAATCTACTTTCCCTTCCGTAAATTAAAAGAAATTGTAATTGCCTACGAGGATATTGAACTTTTTTCTGTTCCATTTAGTTTACAGAAAATCGATTCCTTATTTAGAGGAAGCACTTGAACAGATTCAAGGGTCATTTTATTCATCTCAGTTGTCTTCTTTAGCAAGAAACACAATCAGTAATAGGTAAGAAAATGAGTGTTCATTCACTGAATTCAAATAGGATCCAAAGTTTTTGTTTAACACACTGAAAGTCAAAAGCAATGTAGATGTGAGCAGTTTATCTAACTTGAACTTGATTAACAACTCATTTATAATGCACGTATGATGATGTCTCAGAATACTTCACAAAGACAAAGTCGGATGTCAAGCATAACAACAACAACAACAACAAGATTCCATTTATTGAGCGCCTTTCACGTCAGGAGGACGTCCCAAGGCGCTGGGAGGAGGAGAGGGAGGGAGATGGTGACCGTAGATTCAGTCAAAGATGTCAGTTTTCAGAGGGATTTAAAGACAGATAAAGAAGAAGCAAGACGGAGGAGTTCCAGAAGTTGTGGGCGTAGTTGTTCAAGGCTCAGCCACTGATGGTGACACTGATGGGTGGGGATGCACAGAAGACATAGGATGCATAGGACAAAATTACAAAGATAGCGAGGTGTTTGGGCGTGAAAGGGTTTATAGGTGAGGATAAGGCCCTTGAAGTTGATTCATTAGGAGCCAGTGGGGATCAATGATGAATGGGGTTATGGATATTCAGAGTTTGGTGCAGCTAAGGATCCAGCGAATTCCAGGCGAATGTTGGAACTAGGAAGGTTGGTGAGGAGTAAGTTTAAGAAGTTGAGTCTGGAGGTCCCTTAAGATGTTAAATTTGATCTATATTACTGTTGGACCTGTTTTCTTAGGACTGCTGATTCATCTCCGAATTTATCGACTCCTAGAGAGAGTAGAAATAGTTCTCGATATAAGAAGCAGCTATTGGAAACTATGTCTTATGCCACGCTCGTGAGGGAGCAGAGTGGAATAAATCTGAATATTGGCCGGACACGCTTTCATCAGGAGCTGGAGGAGACCCAGCGACTTCTGGAAGAACAACAACTAAGTAGTTTACAGGTACTCTAGGTCTTTATCTTTCTAGCCTTGTCTTATAGAAATTATTTAATAATTTTACAAGGAGCAGAATAGCCTCCTTTCACGGTGTACAATTCTATGAAGGTATATGACAAATTTGGAAAGGCTCATGGTAGTTTTCTACATAATTGGTTATTTTATATAACAGTTCTGTTTGATATCCTGCATGGACTATTCTTAGAGATATTACGTTTCTTTGGATATTAATAATCACAAATTCGCAATTGGTTTACTGTGTCATTCTGTAATGATAAAATGAGTACAATGGTGAATGTTCATGAAAGGATAGAAATCTTTACCAATCTACATCAATGAAAATTAACTATCGTCTCGGGGGTGGGAGGAGGTAAGCAGGGTCTCCTTGTAGCTAAACTGGCTTTATGGTGACATGCTTGGTAACGGAATATCAAAATCGAGTCAATCCTCTGTGGCAGTCTCAGGAGTCCATTCCTGAAACAGACGGGTCCACAGTACTCCAGGGCAAAATTGATGACACACCAGCCAATCTGGCTCAGAGGTAGGATTTAAAGTGCCAGTGATTCTTCCTACTCAGCTCGTGTGAACTGCAAGCCAAAGCCCTGGACATGCAGCAGGAAACTTGTCGGACAGTGCTTTCAATAGCAAACTTTGCGGTTTTAGTTGCTTAAAGCTGCAGCAGTATCCCAGCTCACATTCTGGGGTTAACAAACCTCGACTCTTGGCTACCTATGCCCAGTAGTCCCTCTACCTTGCACCTTCCTTCCCCATCTTCAGGTCGCACCTGAAAACCTTCCTTTTCGACCGTGCCTACGGTCACTTCCCCCTCCCCCCGATTCGGTGTCATGCTCCGCTCTGGGACTCTACCCTGCATAAGGGGCGTTATGTAAATTCAAGTTGTTGTTACTCTTCGGAATTAGGTAAGCAGGACACGCCTCTCCAGGGAGAGAATGCACATTCCATTCCAAACACTGGAATTTCCTTGTCTATGGAACTCTCAGTCTGGTTTAGATACTCTTAAACAAGGTGATGGGTTTCCACATATATAAGACATCCAGCCAAACAAAAAATAATCAACTATGCACTATGTAAGAAGCTTGGTGATCCTGTTTAATCTGTAACAACTAGTTGTAGGTGGTATGTTTCATACAACAGATGAGGGGGAGATGGGCAAAGGTCTGAAAGGTGGGAGGGGAAAGGCAGCTGAACAGGTTTTGGGGGTTTTGAATACCAGAAATTCAATAAATTTCTTGCTTTCAATGAGAATGACTGACAGCAAACTGAGGTTGTATGCTAGCAGAAGATGTAATAATAATAATAATAATAATAATCCTTGCATTTGATATAGCGCTTTTCACGTCGGGAGGACGTCCCAAAGCGCTTCACAGAACACACTGTAAAGTGAATTGACTGTATATTTGTGGGAGAACGCGGCAGCCAATTGCGCACAGCAATGTCCCACAAACAGTCGTAGATTGAAAATGACCAATTTATTATTGTTTTTTTGTTTTTTTGGAGGGATTATTATTAGGCGTGTGGAGTAGGGAAACTTGCCCAAGGTTTCGCCCTGCCTGGAATTGAACTCAGGTCTCTCGCTTGCAAAGCGAGTGCTCTAACCACTGAGCTACAGGACTCCTGTAAAACAAACCACAGAAATATTTTTTGACAGGAACATCAATAATACAAACCGGTGCTGCTCAAAGCAATGTTCATCCGTTATCTGTTATGTCTTAAAATTAAAAGAACTCACATGCTGGTATTTTCATGTATCACTTTGTGTGCAAAGCAATCAACATTAGAGTTCAGCAGAATGGGTATTGTAAACACCTTGATAACATTTAGCTCAATAAATAATGATTGTCACAGTAGATTAACTGGTGTTGAGATACCTGCAGTCAAATAAATCAGTACTCTCAACTTCCAGTGTGTTAAAACATCACAATGTGTAATATCATTGCATCCTGAACTGTTTTTGTACCTCAAAGAAAACAAATAGCAGCAGCAGGCGATTATAAAAGCTTGCAGCACCTTCCAAAGCTGAACTTAGATTAATATTGATTCAGAACTCTAGATGACACTGGTCTGCTGCTCACTGGAGGAGCTTCACCAGTTCTTACTTATGCCACTAGATGGAATACTTTGATTACTAGTCGGTTTCATTAAGGTGTAGTAAGTGGGAATCAAAAAGGCCAGGCTGGTCCAAACCTTCAGATATATCTCTTATTACTGTGTTGTCTTTGATCCTTTTGCTCTATCAGAATCTCTTTACACTGATCAAAACAGTTTGTGTGACAAGAAATGTTGTCTACATTTCAGCATTGAAGTGTTGAATTTTATTTTGATTTTGCAGTGTAGGTTGGGTTCCAGTGTGGGTCGGGTCAGTCGGTCACCTAAGTTGTGCGTGCTTATTCCTTTGCACAAAAGGCTTTTTTTATACATTATCTTCGACAATGTCAAGTTAATAAGCATATAATAATGTAAGTTGATGTTATTGTAATGTTCCTTCCTGTGCTGCATTGTTGGAAGTGCCATTGTTAGGCATCAGGTTCAATCCACAGTTATTGTTCCTCCCCTATAACCAGTCCCTAGCCAAGACCCCTTTCCTCCACCTCATTGCCCATCTCCAACAGTACTACACTCCACAAGCTACCGAAACCCTTGTCCACGCCTTTGTCACCTCTTGGCTGGATTACTCAAACGCCTTCCTAGCCGGTCTCCACTCCTACACTATTCACAAAATTCAACTCATCCAAAACTCCGCCGCCCACATTCTCATCCGCACTAAATTCTGCACCCCAATTACCTCAGTCCTTGTCAAACTCCACTGGCTCGCTGTCACAGAACGGATCGACTTCAAGATCCTCACTCTAGCATTTACATCCGTCTACGCCTTGGCACCCCACCTATCTCTCCAACCTCCTCTCTCCTCACAGCACTACTCGCTGCCTCCACTCTACTGGCTCCAGCCTCCTCCTTGTCCCTCAAATCCTCTGCTCCAGCATTGGCAGGTGTGCCTTAAGCAACTATGTTCTGAAGCTATGGAACTGCTTCCCTCAATCCCTTTGCCTCGCCTCCTCTTTCCCCATTTTCAGGTTGCGCCTGAATACCTTCCTCTTCGACCGTGCCTAGGGTCACCTTCCCCCTCTCCCTGGCTCGGCATCGGGCTCCGTCATTGTTAAGCGCTCAGAGACTCCGCCCAACATGCAGGGCATTATTATAAAAGCAGGTTGTTGTTGTTAGGATGAAACGAGGCCCCATTTGTGCCTGATCAGGTGAACATTAAAAATTCCATGACACTATTTGAATAGAGAAGGGAGTTTCTACCAGTGTCCTGGCTAACAATACCCCAGATAAAATCAGTCAGTGGGACGTGGCTGTACACTCCACCTTACTGAGCCAATCCATAACCTTGGCGTCTTGTTTGACCCTCAACTGTCCTTTCTATCCCACAACCGTGCCATGTCCCGCTCTGCCTTCTCCCACCTCTGCAGCATTACCCAGCTCCGCCACTGCCTCAGACCGCCAAAAACTTCATCCACACATTTATCGCATCTAGGCTCAATTACTCCAACTCCCTGCTTGTCGGCCTTCCCAACTCTGCCCTCCACAAGCTGCAGATCATCCAGAACTCTGCAGCTCATGTCCTCTCCCACACTCCATGACCCTGTCACGCCTTCAGGTGCCCCTCCTGCCCTCCACCCCACTGATCCCAAGCCCCTGCTTGGGTCCAAATCCCTGACTATCCTGCGATTTGGGACATCCTCCCGACCTGAAAGGCGCTATACAAATAAATGGAATTTGTTCTTGTTGATGTCGTTAAATTTCACCAACAACAGTGGCGAGTCCCACTGACAGCTGTTACTATGCTTGTTTTTAAAAGTTTTAAGATATATATTATCTTCATTCTGTTGCAGGGGTGTTTTTTTTTATCTCTCACAGGACCATAGAACCATAGATACGTTTCCTCTATCCTAGAGCCATAGAAATTTACAGCACAGAAAAGCACCATTTGGCTCATTGTGTCTGTGCTGGCTCTTTTAAGAGCAACTCTTTCTTTTAAGAGCAATCCTTGCAGTCCCATTACCTAAGCCATAACCTTGTAACCTTTTGTTTTTGAGATATTTTTCTTGTTCCCTTTTGAAAGCCGTCATGGATTCTGCCTCAACAGTCACTCCCAGAAGTGCGTTCCATATCCTAACTACTCTGCGTGAAAAGGTTTTCCTAACCTAACCATTTGCTCATTTGCTAATTGTGTTAAAAGAATGCCCTCTAGTCACTGAATTAACAAATGTAATTATGTTGTTGTTGACGACTTACCCACCCACCAATGGAAATAATTTCTCCCTATTGACTATCAAAACACCTCATAATTTTAGGGAGCTCCATCAAATTACCCCTCAACCTTTTTTGTTCCAGTGGAAAAAGTCCCAGTTCCTCCTTTGCTGATACGCCAAACCTCTGCACCCCCTCTATTATCCTCCGGTGGGTGCGGGGGAGGGAAGTAAAATCTCCTTGGAGGTTGACTCAATGGCAGTACTTGGAAGAGCAGATCAGTCACTGGGGGAACGGAATTCTCTCCAGGGATAGAGTGTGGATTCCATTTCAATAAATATCTTGGGAATTTCCATGTGTAGGTGGAATGCATGGAATTCCGTTTGATTTGGATACTTCTAAGCATTGGTTTCTGCACCAAAATGTCACATAAGATTATAAACTCATTAAATTGTCACAATCTACACATTACAAATATGTGTAGTTGAATAATAATAATAATAATCCTTGCATTTGATATAGCGTTTTCACGTCTTCTAGACGTCTCAAAGCGCTTCACGGAATATACTGTAAAGTGAATTGACTGTATATTTGTGGGCGAAACACGGCAGTCAATTGCACACAGCAATGTCCCACAAACAGTCGTAGATTGAAAATGACCAATTTTATTATTGTTTTTGTTTTTTTGGAGGGATTATTATTAGGCATGTGGTGTAAGGAAACTTGCCCAAGGT